AGACATGATGTAATTTATGAACCTAAATATCAATAAATTATGTAAAATTCTTTGCTACATGGGTATATTTTTTTTTTAGTATTTGAGAACTTCTATACAAAACTAGACTGAACTCAATGAAGCATGAAATGTAGGTCATAACAACTAACTTTTCATGATTTTTTTTTTACATCATTGAATCCTGCAAAGTTTAACATTTTATATTACAAAAGTTATATATGTGGGAGTAACAACTTTCAGTAACCACTCTTTTAAATCTTACTTTCACATTTTGAATATCCACTTCCTACATAGCCTGTGTCACACACACACTTGTAATCAAAACAATGGGCATTGGCTACACAGGATTTCCCTCCACAAACACTTAATGCTGAAATACAAATATACAAATGTAAATAATAAAGAGCTGCACTAAGTGCACATATTGAAATTGTTGGCATGAAAAAATGGAATATTTAAAAGGTTATTAAATAGAAGTCAGTAAAATGGCACTAAAGAATAAGTTGCATTTTTTGTAGATATTCTAAGGCGTATAAATATTGCCTAAAATATGACTCTTAAAAGTCCCATTACTCTGAAAAAAAGTGTTGACATTCAGACTGACGAAGTGACTGACAAACACATGAAGGAACAGACATAATGGCAGACGGACACATAGAGGGACCGACAATCAGATATAAACCAGTATACCCCTCCTTTCATAGCAGGAATATAGTTATTGCAAATCTCTCATATATAAAGTAAATGACAATCAAAACTTACATTCACACAGCTTTGTTCCACTACCATGGTAACCTTGTTTGCACAGACATTCCACACCATCAGAACAAAATGCATTTTCCTTGCAGATTTTCCCATTGCATAATTCTAAAAACAGGAATTTTTATAAAAAAAAAATTCATGTAATTAAAACTGGTTTTAAGGTCCTATTTATGGTGCATTGCAATTGATTGACATTAATATACTAAGGATTCAGGTTTTATGGCCTAATCCATCTTTTTGAATTTACCTTTGGAGTTAAGCATTTTTGCTAGTACTATTTTTCATTTATTTTTCGTGGATGAAAATCTTGTCATTTTGTATTTATTTCATACTGGAGTTTTGCCAAAGTCATCTGTTTTCAATAATATCAATTTAATCACATGAAATTTTGTCAAACTACTGGCCTATACAACCTATGTTTTTACTTAAATTGTCTAATTCAGGTTTTAAAATCATCATTTGTGGCTTTAATTTTCATTTTTAAAAACGTGCTATATGTGTTACTCTTGTTTAAAATTGTAAATTTTTTAAATACTTACTTTGACATTGATGATACCCATTGCCAAGGTAACCCAGTAAACATTGACACTGATAGTCTATACAAGCAGCATTAGTTGTGCATTTCTTACCTCCACACAATGATAATACTGTAATAAAATGGCAGACTTTTAATTAAAGCTTTAAGTACACCATTGAAAACAATAAATCTGAATTCAGTTAACACAACATCTCTGAGTTTTGAATGCATTTTCTAAAAGTTTTAGTGGGATGACATTTTTACTTGATGAAATTCATAGTTATCACCCAATTTCAGCTACTTGAAAACTCTCTTAACTTTTCTAAAACAGTTAAGGGAACAGGAAAAGTGAAGGCTGTTATGAATGGCTAATCGATTTCTGAGTTGAGTGCTTTATTGATTAATTTCTTTTCCATTGATTTTTTCATTATATATTTGTCTCATCTTTTCTGGTAAACTTTATCTACCTTCAAAAAAAATTCAGTTTATTTCTACATTTCTAACCTTCACACTTTTTTGTTCCATCTCCATGGTAGCCCTCTTTACACATACACTGACCATTCTGACATTCTGAATTTTCCACACATCGTACATTGTTACATAAAGCTAGTGAGAAAAAAAATAGAAGTTAATATATATTTGATTCTGTTGTATTTAAATGCTTTTACATTTTGAAACTATAAAAATAGTTTGGTTTTTTTTTTTGCTTTTACACTGAATTGTGCATTCTTTCCATTTTTTCTTAATAATTATTAACCTATAATATAATATATTAACAAAAGTTATGGTTAACTCCTTCTTTTGTTCATTTTAGGGGGAAAAAAATTACTATGCAAGCTAACTTTCAACTTTCTGAAGAGACCATTGGTATCATGACCTGAGATGTTTACCTTTCCTTAAGACTGTGTCTTCTGTAATTGTTTATGATGTCATAAGTATTACAGCAGATGTTAAAATTCAAGATGACACTCAGTCTGATTTTCAATTATTACAACCTGTAAGACTCAAGAATCTGAAATTTTAACAAGTTTTTCCCATACTAATTATATAATATAAGCTTGTAGCATCAAATAAAGATATTTGAAGTTTTCCACAAATGTGTGTCTGTAAAATAATAAAGGAATACTTACGTGTACATACATAATAACCATTTCCATAGTAACCATAATCACATACACACTGGAAGTTATTACACTTAGCATTTAATGCACACTGCCTACCATCACAATATTCAATAGCTAAAATGAAAAGTATTAAACTGCAATTTATATCCCATGGAAATAAACAAATATCTTTTAAATTATCATTATAGGAATAAGTAATATGATTCGAATACCTGTGTCCATAGGCTCGTATTTGCTTATAAGGATCTGACGTTTCTCTATTTAACTAAAAGAGGCAGATGATACCAAGGGGACATTCAAATTTCATAAGTTGAAGAAAACCTGACAACGACATGGCAAAAAACGAAAAGATGAACCAGTCCACAAAACACTACATAGAAAACTAGAGATTGAGCAATACGGACCCCACCAAAAACAGGAGGTGAACTCAGGTGCTCCAAAAGAGTAAGTTTTTTTGTATCCTCAGATTTTGTCTTAATGATATACATACATTAAAATCTGGAGGCAGAAATTTTGTAAGAGTAGTTGGAAACAGATTATGTAATATGAATGGATTTTATTCCCCCAAAATAGTAGAACCCAAACAATAATGCAGTATAAATGTTGGTCATATTTTGTTACAGCTATATAATAATCAAAGGTTCTTTGATGTTAGTATTTTTTCAATTTATGGAATATTCAATATTTAGGACAATTAAAAGTTTGACGCAGAGATATGTAATTTTGATAGGATATAATTCAAATGTTCAAATTAAAATGGCAATAGACGCTAACATGTAAACTATGCAAAACATTTAAAGTCAATGAACAATGACTGAAGGTGAAGGACCAAATAACCTCTGTGAAAAAATGCAAATACTAATACAAATGCATTCTAAATATCACAAGTGGTTCTCCTTAAACTGACCTAAACACATACTTGTAACTTGTGCAAAAGTGTAATTTATGCAAAAGTTTCAATGTCAGTAGATCATGACTGAAGGGGCAGGGTGGAATAATTTCCATGAATTAATATATGATGTTCAAATGCTATTATACAGCTGCATACCAAATATCATTGACTTACCCTTAGTGGTTCCCCTTAAAATGACCTAATCACAAGATTTTACATGTATACTAAGTAAAAGTTTTAAAGTCAATAGACCATGAATAAAGGGGAGGGGGACCAAATTGTATTCATGGAAATGAGATGTGCCATTACTAATACAATAAGCACTGCATACCATATATCATTGACCTACCGCTAGTGGTTCCCCTTAATATTACCTACTCACAAACTAATACATTGTTTACGCCACTGCCAGATTTAAACAGCACCCCAAAGTCTTGCCTTCACCACTTGCAAATAATATATCAGCTGAGGATAGTTTGTGAAAAAATGAAGATAACCACTTATATTTTCTGAAAGTTTATAAATCGGTCAACCTATATCAGTTTTCACAAAAACTGTAGGGCATATATCAATATTTCTAAAAATATTTATCTGAATTTTTAGATTGTAAAAGGAAATCAGTAGGACTCTGAAAAATATTTTTTCTAACCTCTTACCTATTCTCTATCATGTAACTAATTTTTGAAGTCAAATGTGAATATTTTGTTTTTTTTATTTTAATTCATTTTGGTGAACAGTAAGTTTCCTGGTTAATAAAAACTCTTTCAAAAGGCAATGACAGGAATTAATTAAGGGTCCAACAACCTGAATATCATATAGAAATTAAACAGCAATCAATCATTTAATATCAAATAGTGTCAAACAACATCTCATATGGAAACAACTGATACAAGTTTAAAACAATAGGTTCAAATTCTCCTTATGAGGGTCATAGGACCAAGATTGTGCATGCAAAGGTCATGCAGGTTTTATAAACTTTTCTCTCAAGGATATCTATTGACATGGACATTCAGTCTCTTAACTCTTTTAAAGAAAAAGAAAAACGCCCATAAAATTTAAAGAATACAGAAATTAAGGACCCCCTTTAAATAGACTCTCCTATATTCCTCATGCTGCTTCTGATTTTGGGAAGATAAAAATACCTTTTCACCTGAAGTGCGGTCATTAATTTTGATTATTCTTATTTAACAAATCTCCACTATGTATAAAATACTTGCATATTTTTCTTCATAACTAATCAATGTTAAGTATGCAAAAAAGACTCTTATCAAGTCAGTTCATGTGGGATAATAGAACCCATAAATTTTTTGTTACTAAAAATAGCATAGGTAATTTCCTATTTTAATGTTTGCAAATAGTCAATGTAATTTCCCTCAGAAAACTTACCATATATCTTATCTAATTTAAAGTACTAAATGTCAACTAACCAAGTAAGTAGAATATATAGCATTTGTTACTAAATTTTTTATTGTGTGACAGCTCTTGTAATCATTGTTCAATTTAAAGCTATAGCAGATAATCACATAGTCTGGAATATAGTATTGTTTTATTTTTTTAATTCTATTAAGTTTTATTTAAGAAAAAGGTTTGTACAGACTCATCATATCAAATAAGCTTTTATTTTAAAAGATAAAGTTATGTAACAATGTGCTGTTTTGTTTAGGTAGTTATACACACTCTTTATTTTACCTTATCCCAGATAGTCATGTGACTATTTGACTGTTACTTTAAATAGAAGAAAAAATTCCCACTTTCAAATAGTACATATTTAAAGGGAATTTCCTAATACTGTGTCATCCATTTTATCTGGAAAACACGAAATTTATTCATACAGGCATAATTTCAGCAGGTAAGAAGAATGTCTGAAAAATTCATAAATTAATGTACTTTGTTATAAGAAACTAGTAGTATGTTTTCTTTATTTAACTATTCCAGGTAAAATTTCAAATGTACTTTCATTTTCAAAAATCCATTGTGGGAATATTGTACTACTTTCTTTATCAAATAAATTTAAAAGCCAGTACATTAGATGCAAATCTAACAAATATGTTCCCTTCTCTCCTGCAATGATATGTAAGCAAGTCCTGAAAACAATATGGTTTTTTTTTGGTAAAAAGTGGAAGCTTATTTTCATTTTCTTACTTTCCCTTTGAATTTAATAGAATTGTTGTATTGAAATAAATGTGCACTCTTAAAACTTGAAATCCCTGTTTTGTATAATTGTGTCCTGTTTTTTTTCTAAATCTATAACTGACTTTGGGATAACAAAGGCTGATCAAAATTATTGAGGACAAAAAAAGCTTTAAATAGAAATACAATTTGGGTACTTATTTCCATAACATGTAATATTATTATTTAGAATTAACCCTGTCATATATCAAGGCTATGCAAAAGCATTTTGATTGGTTTTATGAATTATTTCAGTTGGCTGTACTGATAACAATTGGGACTTTGTACCATCATTTACTCTATCTTCATCATACCTTTAAAAATAACTCCTTTAATGCTTAACTATAATTTTGAATTTGGAACCCAAAGAACAAAAGTATATTCTATGTCTTTATTTACTAAAAGACAGCTAAAGAGAAATAGAAAGCTCTGCACAATTGTAATAATAGTATTCTCTCTAAACTTACTTTAAAATCAGCCCTAAAAATGTAAGTCTAAATAAGCAGGTCTTCAGAGTGGACATTAGTTACATATGCTTATTTTTATTATTCATGTATTTCAGAATTTTTTATAACCATAGAATGGATCGAGAAGATAAACGACGCTACTTTATTGTTGGATCGGTCATATTAGAGATTGTCACACCAATGTTCCAACAGCGACTGGAGAAAGAGTACAAGAAACGAGGTTTTCCTTCATTTCAGGCTTTCCTTAACAGTGAATCTGTGATACACATCTTATTCCATCTACGACACAGAAATGTATGGTGTTGTGTCGACAAAAATACCTGTTCAAACCATGATGAACTTCCTCTGGTCTATGACGAATGGGATCTGCTATACACGCCAAAGAAAGATCAAGGTAGTAATCACAGCTGTCATTGTCAATACATGGCTAATTCTGTGGAACTGGATGAACTTGACATATCATTGGCTGGCCTGATCTTGTTAAATTGTTTTGTTCTCGGAAAGGATGAAAATGCCATCAGTTCACTCAGACAATTTAAGAGTGATTATTTATGTCACAATACATGTGGCTCCATGGATAAGGAAGAGTTTGATACATTGTGGGATGATTTACAGGATGATGTCCTACGACTTGACCCCAGCAAACAAGATGAACTGATGCTGATCGAGGAAAGACCCCTGGATGACCATCTTCGTGTGAGATACTGCAAGATCCTACTGGGTATTATCAAACCTAATGAGGTATGTAACATTACATAACCAAAAATATTTGACAGAAAACAGACCATACTAACCTTCAATAAAAATTAGACAAACAAAAACAAACAACATCAAACAACGCATGGTCCAGATAGGGGCTCCAGTAGGGTACCTCCTTTGGTCACAAGGACATGATTAAAAATTGCTTCAGGTCACCAGGTCAACTTTAAGCAAATTTGACAGGTTTATATTTAACATTATTATGTTATGACCAAAAGGGACTTAAAAAGAATAGCCAAATCCATCCTTGCAACAAGTATGCTAGATATTGATTCGTCATGTTCTTTAAATGGCCTCATTTTGACTGCACAAATTAACATTTCAAAAATCAACAAAAAATTAGAACCAAGTGAATATTCATATAATTCAATTCTTCAACATTTAAAATTATCTAACTTGTTATTTCATTAGGTTGACAACCGAGAACCAGAGAGATGTCCCATTCAAAACTTGTGTGCAACATTGCAGGAATTAAGAAATCTGATCGTCTCAATGAATACAAGAACAAGATCTACTACATGTACTACCAATGACTCAAACAAGGTAATAAACCACTTTCAGTTCTAGAATACAAATAGAGATGTAATGTGGTTATATGTTTGGACTAAATTCACCAGACACCATGCAATGAAAAAAAATTTTTATGAATAAAACAAAATGTTTTCTCTAGAAACTGATCAGTTTTTAGGACAATATATTGAACAATCACTTTCTGGAAAAGAAAAGAAATGAAATATAAGGGTACCAGTTGTTGTTTTCTTGCTGTTTTTCAAAGTAGTGGAAACTTTGATTGATTTGCAGTAATACTATAAATATCAATTTTAATCATCTCCCTCTGAATTGAAAACATTTATACTTTTAACAGTTACTTCCCCTGGCAAAATCACGGATCATTTTATTCATGATCTTGTCAAAAATTGTAGGATGTTTCTTCTATATATATCCCAAAGAGTAAAAAAAAAATGTTTTAAGCAAGTGCATTTCCCAAAATATAGAAATTAATTCTCAAATTGTGTTAGAAAAGTGCTTTTATTGCTGTTTTAATCTCAAAGTGAAAGGAATGACAAAAGACATTAGTTAATATCTCTATATTACAAACTTCAAAATGTACAATGTGCAAATAATTAACAAATTCTGCCATGATTTTACTGTCAATGATATTGTTTAATACAGGAATACAAAAATACTTATTTTATTGCCATATATAGTGAAACATCTTTTGTTTATATGAAAAAGAGGATCACCTAATTGAAATGTTGCTTCAAATTAATACTCCTAAAAGATAAGTTGATGGATTTTTTTTTATTTAAATATTTGATTAGAAAATTATAAAGATTTTGATTTTTTGATTTTTATACGACCGCAAAAAAATTTTTGTGGTCGTATATTGGTATGACGTTGGCGTCGTCGTCGTCGTCGTCCGGCGTCGTCGTCGTCGTCCAGCGTCGTCGTCCGAATACGCATTAGTTTTCGCACTCTAACTTTAGTTTAAGTGAATGGATCTCTGTGAAATTTTACCATAAGGTTCAATACCACAAAAGGAAGGTGGGGATTGATTTTGGGGGTTATGGTACCAACAGTTAAGGAATTAGGGGCCAAAAAGGGGCCAAAAATAAGCATTTTCTAGTTTCCAGACAATAACTGTGGAACAGTGTATGGATCTCTCTGAAATTATACTACAAGTTTCCATACCACAAAGGGATGGTTAGGATTTGCTTTGGGGGGTTATGGCTCAAACCGTTTAAGAATTAGGGGCAAAAAAGGGGGAAAAACAAGGTTGTCCTGGTTAATGGACAAATACTTTAGTACAAAACATAATTTAAAGCAGTGTAAGGGAGATAAATCAAATACATCATTGAAATTATCTCCCTTACACTGCTTTTAAATTATGTATAAAGTAATGGTTAATGAACAATTAAGATAATTTAAAACAGTGTAAGGGAGGTAATCCAAATACAACGTTTTGGTTACTTCCCTTACACTGCTTTTAAATTATGTTTAATGTTGCATTTTTTTTTTTTACAAAAAAATCCATATGAAAGACTTGACACTATATTTTAAATTCTATTATAAAATAGATTAAGTTAGCACTATGGTAAATTTAAATGGGTAATTATGGCTGCAAATTCCATTGGAAATTTGAATTGAGATTATGACCATATCTTGAGGGAAAGAATTTTTTGGGGGAAAGGGGGGGGGGGGGGGTAAAAAGAAATTGTGGGGGGTCAATTTTTTCTCATTGCAGATTTCAGAAATTAAAAAGAATTATTCTTCAAATATTATTTTTTTTTCAAATTTCAAATATTGAAAAATTTCAAGAAGTAATCTTTAATTGCACAGTATGGCGCATTAGATTTGTAAAATCTTTGACCACATTTATTTATTTGTTATGCCGAATCTAACCGTGTATTTAGATTTTTAATTATGGGTCCAGTTTTCAAATTGGTCTACATTAAGGTCCAAAAGGTCCAAAAGGTCCAAAAGGTCCAAAATTAAACTTTGTTTGATTTTAACAAAAATTGATTTTTTGGGGTTCTTTGATATGCTGAATCTAAACATCATGTTCTTCACGCTTAACCACAAGTCCTACGGCATTGGCTTGTAAAATTGCTTTCGGACTTGTAAAATTCTTCTCTACAAGCCAACAGAATCCAACTAAAATTTTTAAAAAATTGAGCTACTGGCTTGTGGACTCAAAAGTTAAGCGTGAAGGCTGGTTACATGTGTTCAGATTTTTGATTATGGGCTCAGTTTTCAAGTTGGTCCAAGTTGGGGTCCAAAATTAAACTTTGTTTGATTTCAACAAAAATTGAATATATGGGGTTCTTTGATATTCTGAATCTAAACATGTATTTAGATTTTAGATTTTTGGCCCAGTTTTAAAGTTGGTCCAAATTGGGGTCCAAAATTAAACTTTGTTTGATTTCAACAAAAATTGAATATATGGGGTTCTTTGATATGCTGAATCTTACCATGTATTTAGATTTTTTATTTGTGGGCCCGCTATCAAATTGGTTCATATTGAGTCAAAAGGGTCCAAAATTAAACTTTGTTTGATTTTATCAAAAATTGAATTAATGGGGTTCTTTGATATGCCAAATCTAACTGTGTTTTTAGATTTTTAATTTTGGGTCCCGTTTTTTAAATTGGTCTACATTAAGGTCCAAAGGGTCCAAAATTAAACTTAGTTTGATTTTAACAAAAATTGAATTCTTGGGGTTCTTTGATATGCTGAATCTAAACATGTGTTTAGATTTTTATACGACCGCAAAAATTGAAAATTTTTTGGTCGTATATTGGTATGACGTCGTCGTCGTCGTCGTCGTCGTCGTCCGGCGTCGTCCGAAGACACATTGGTTTTCGCACTCTAACTTTAGTTTAAGTGAATGGATCTCCATGAAATTTTACCATAAGGTTCAATACCACGAAAGGAAGGTTGGGATTGATTTTGGGGGTTATGGTACAAACAGTTAAGGAATTAGGGGCCAAAAAGGGGCCAAAAATAAGCATTTTTGTAACTTCCAGACAATAACTTGTGTGTAAGTGTATGGATCTCTCTGACATTGTACCACAAGGTTCCATATCACAAAGAGAAGGCTGTAATTGATTTTGGGGGTAATTGCCTCAAAATTTTAGGAATTAGGGGCCAAAAAAGGGGCAAAAAACAAGCATTTTTCTAGTTTCATGACAATAACTTGTGTGTAAGTGTTTGGATATTTCTGAAATTGTACTACAAGGTTCCATATCACAAAGGGAAAGCTGGAATTGAGTTTGGGGGGTAATTGCCTGAAACGTTTAGGAATTGGGGGCCAAAAAGGGGCCAAAAATAAGCATTTTTCTAGTTTCCAGACAATAACTTGTGTTCAAGTGTATGGATCTCTCTGAAATTGTACTGCAAGGTACCATACCACAAAGGGAAGGCTGGGATTGAGTTTGGGGGTGATGAATCATAAGGGGGTTCAAAAAATTTGGGGGGGGGGGAATTTTTTTTTTTTCTTTTTTTTTCTTTTTTTCCTTTTTTTTTTCTTTTAAAATTTTCCATTTTAAGTTGGTTATTTCTGATTAATATTTAAAAGCAAATAATAATGATATGGTAGGAGATACACACCAAACAGGATGTGTAAATTATTATATAATAAGTATTGTGCAATAGCAAGAAATTTTCAATTGCACAGTATTGCACAATTGCAAGAAATCTTCAATTGCACAGTATTGCGCAATAGCAAGAAATCTTCAATTGCACAGTATTGCGCAATAGCAAGAAATATCCAATAGCACAATATTGCGCAATAGCAAGAAATTGTCAATTGTACAGTATTGCACAATAGCAAGAAATATTCAATTGCACAGTATTGTGCAAAAGAAGATACTTCGTATAAATTGCTTATTTCTTGATCAATTTCAATGGGGTTTTATTCTTGAATTCTTGGGGTTCTTTAATATGCTGAATCTAACCGTGTATTAAGTTTTTGGATTTTGGGCCCCGTTTTTAAATTGGTCCACATTGAGGTCTCAAGGGTCCAAAATTTAACTTTGTTTGATTTCATCAAAAATTGAATTATTGGGGTTCTTTGATATGCCGAATCTAACCGTGTATTTAGATTCTTAATTTTTGGTTCCGTTTTCAAATTGGTCTACATTAAGGTCAAAAGGGTCCAAAATTAAACTTAGTTTGATTTTAACAAAAATTGAATTTTTAGGGTTCTTTGATATGCTGAATCTAAACATGTATTTAGATTTTTGATTATGGGCCCAGTTTTCAAGTTGGTCCAAATCGGGGTCCAAAATTAAACTTTGTTTGATTTCAACAAAAATTGAATATATGGGGTTCTTTGATATGCTGAATCTAACCATGTATTTAGATTTTTGATTTTTGGGCCCCGTTATCAACTTTGTCCACATTGAGGTCAAAAGGGTCCAAAATTAAACTTTGTTTGATTTCATCAAAAATTGAATTATTGGGGTTCTTTGATATGCCAAATCTAACCGTGTATTTAGATTTTTAATTTTGGGTCCCGTTTTTAAATTGGTCTACATTAAGGTCCAAAGGGTCCAAAATTAAACTTAGTTTGATTTTAACAAAAATTGAATTCTTGGGGTTCTTTGATATGCTGAATCTAAACATGTGTTTAGAATTTTGATTATGGGCCCAGTTTTCAAGTTGGTCCAAGTTGGAGTCCAAAATTAAACTTTGTTTGATTTCAACAAAAATTGAATATATGGGGTTCTTTGATATGCTGAATCTAAACATGTATTAAGATTTTAGATTTTTGGTCCAAATTGGGGTCCAAAATTAAACTTTGTTTGATTTCAACAAAAATTGAATATATGGGGTTCTTTGATATGCTGAATCTTACCATGTATTTAGATTTTTTATTTGTGGGCCCGCTATCAAATTGGTTCATATTGAGGTCAAAAGGGTCCAAAATTAAACTTTGTTTGATTTCATCAAAAATTTAATTATTGGGGTTCTTTGATATGCCAAATCTAACCGTGTATTTAGATTTTTAATTTTGGGTCCCATTTTTTAAATTGGTCTACATTAAGGTCCAAAGGGTCCAAAATTAAACTTAGTTTGATTTTAACAAAAATTGAATTTTTGGGGTTCTTTGATATGCTGAATCTAAACATGTGTTTAGATTTTTGATTATGGGCCCAGTTTTCAAGTTGGTCCAAGTTGGGGTCCAAAATTAAACTTTGTTTGATTTCAACAAAAATTGAATATATGGGGTTCTTTGATATGCTGAATCTAAACATGTATTTAGATTTTAGATTTTTGGCCCAGTTTTCAAGTTGGTCCAATTTGGGGTCCAAAATTAAACTTTGTTTGATATCAACAAAAATTGAATATATGGGGTTCTTTGATATGCTGAATCTTACCATGTATTTAGATTTTTTATTTTGTAGGCCCGCTATCAAATTGGTTCATATTGTGGTCAAAAGGGTCCAAAATTAAACTTTGTTTGATTTCATCAAAAATTTAATTATTGGGGTTCTTTGATATGCCAAATCTAACCGTGTTTTTAGATTTTTAATTTTGGGTCCCATTTTTATACGACCGCAAAAAAATTTTGTGGTCGTATATTGGTATGACGTTGGCGTCGTCGTCGTCGTCGTCGTCGTCGTCCGGCGTCGTCGTCGTCGTCGTCCGGTGTCGTCGTCCGAATACATATTGGTTTTCGCACTCTAACTTTAGTTTAAGTGAATGGATCTTTTTGAAATTTGACCATAAGGTTAAATACCACAAAAGGAAGGTTGGGATTGATTTTGGGGGTTATGGTACCAACAGTTAAGGAATTAGGGGCCAAAAAGGGGCCAAAAATGAGCATTTTCTAGTTTCCAGACAATAACTGTGGAACGGTGTATGGATCTCTCTGAAATTATACTACAAGTTTCCATAACACAAAGGGATGGTTAGGATTTGCTTTGGGGGGTTATGGCTCAAACCGTTTAGGAATTAGGGGCAAAAAAGGGGGAAAAACAAGGTTGTCCTGGTTAATGGACAAATACTTTAGTACAAAACATAATTTAAAGCAGTGTAAGGGAGATAAATCAAATACATCATTGAAATTATCTCCCTTACACTGCTTTTAAATTATGTATAAAGTAATGGTTAATGAACAATAAAGATAATCTAAAACAGTGTAAGGGAGGTAATCCAAATACAACGTTTTGGTTACTTCCCTTACACTGCTTTTAAATTATGTTTAAAGAAATGCATATTTATAAAGGAAGACCAGTAAAAATATCTGCAAATGTTGCATCTTCTTTTTTTTACAAAAAAATCCATATGAAAGATTTGACACTATATTTTTAATTCTATTATAAAATAGATTAAGTTAGCACTATGGTAAATTTAAATGGGTAATTATGGTTGCAAACTCCATTGGAAATTTGAATTGAGATTATGACCATATCTTGAGGGAAAGAATTTTTTTGGGGAAAAAGGGGGGGGGGGGGGGGGTAAAAAGAAATTGTGGGGGGTCAATTTTTTCTCATTTCAGATTTCAGAAATTAAAAAGAATTATTCTTCAAATATTTTTTTTTTTTTCAAATTTCAAATATTGAAAAATTTCAAGAAGTAATCTTTAATTACACAGTATGGCGCATTAGATTTGTAAAATCTTTGACCACATTTATTTATTTGTTATGCCGAATCTAACCGTGAATTTAGATTTTTAATTTTGGGTCCAGTTTTCAAATTGGTCTACATTAAGGTCCAAAGGGTCCAAGATTAAACTTTGTTTGATTGTAACAAAAATTGAATTCTTGGGGTTCTTTGATATGCTGAATCTAAACATGTATTTAGATTTTTGATTTTTGGCCCAGTTTTCAAGTTGGTCCAAATTGGGGTCCAAAATTAAACTTTGTTTGATTTCAACAAAAATTGAATATATGGGGTTCTTTGATATGCTGAATCTAACCATGTATTTAGATTTTTTATTTGTGGGCCCGCTTTCAAATTGGTTCATATTGAGGTCAAAAGGGTCCAAAATTAAACTTTGTTTGATTTCATCAAAAAATGAATTATTGGGGTTCTTTGATATGCTGAATCTAACCATTTATTTAGATTTTTTATTTGTGGACCCCGCTATCAAATTTGTTCATATTGAGGTCAAAAGGGTCCAAAATTAAACTTCTTTTGATTTCATCAAAAACTGAATTATTGGGGTTCTTTGACATGCCAAATTTAACCGTGTATTTAGATTTTTAATTTTGGTTCCTGTTTTTATACGACCGCAAAAAAATTTTGTGGTCCTATATTGGTATGACGTTGGCGTTGTCGTCGTTGTCGTCGTCCGGCGTCGTCGTCCAGCGTCGTCGTCCGAATACATATTGGTTTTCGCACTCTAACTTTAGTTTAAGTGAATGGATCTTTTTGAAATTTTACCATAAGGTTAAATACCACAAAAGGAAGGTTGGGATTGATTTTGGGGGTTATGGTATCAACAGTTAAGGAATTAGGGGCCAAAAAGGGGCCAAAAATGAGCATTTTCTAGTTTCCAGACAATAACTGTGGAACGGTGTATGGATCTCTCTGAAATTATACTACAAGTTTCCATACCACAAAGGGATGGTTAGGATTTGCTTTGGGGGGTAATGGCTCAAACCGTTTAGGAATTACGGGCAAAAAAGGGGGAAAAACAAGGTTGTCCTGGTTAATGGACAAATACTTTAGTACAAAACATAATTTAAAGCAGTGTAAGGGAGATAAATCAAATACATCATTGAAATTATCTTCCTTACACTGCTTTTAAATTATGTATAAAGTAATGGTTAATGAACAATAAAGATAATCTAAAACAGTGTAAGGGAGGTAATCCAAATACAACGTTTTGGTTACTTCCCTTACACTGCTTTTAAATTATGTTTAAAGAAATGCATATTTATAAAGGAAGACCAGTAAAAATATCTGCAAATGTTTTCATCTTTTTTTTTTACAAAAAAATCCATATGAAAGATTTGACACTATATTTTTATTAATTCTATTATAAAATAGATTAAGTTAGCACTATGGTAAATTTAAATGGGTAATTATGGTTGCCAAGTCCATTGGAAATTTGAATTGAGATTATGACCATATCTTGAGGGAAAGAATTTTTTGGGGGGAAAAAGGGGGGGGGGATAAAAAGAAATTGTGGGGGGCCAATTTTTTCTCATTTCAGATTTCAGAAATTAAAAAGAATTATTCTTCAAATATTTTTTTTTTTTCAAATTTCAAATATTGAAAAATTTCAAGAAGTAATCTTTAATTGCACAGTATGGCGCATTAGATTTGTAAAATCTTTGATCACATTTATTTATTTGTTATGCCGAATCTAACAGTGTATTTAGATTTTTAATTTTGGGTCCAGTTTTCAAATTGGTCTACATTAATGTCCAAAGGGTCCAAAATTAAACTTTGTTTGATTTTAGCAAAAATTGAATATATGAGGTTCTTTGATATGCTGAATCTAAACATGTATTTAGATTTTTGATTTTTGGCCCAGTTTTCAAGTTGGTCCAAATTGGGGTCCAAAATTAAACTTTGTTTGATTTCAACAAAAATTGAATATATGGGGTTCTTTGATATGCTGAATCTAACCATGTATTTAGATTTTTTATTTGTGGACCCCGTTATCAAATTGGTTCATATTGAGGTCAAAAGGGTCCAAAATTAAACTTTGTTTGATTTCATCTAAAATTGAATTATTGGGGTTCTTTGATATTCCAAATCTAACCGTGTATTTAGGTTTTTAATTTTGGGTCCTGTTTTTTAAATTGGTCTACATTGAGGTCCAAAGGGTCCAAAATTAAACTTAGTTTGATTTTGACAAAAATTTAATTCTTGGGGTTCTTTGATTTGCTGAATCTAAACATGTGTTTAGATTTTTGATTATGGGCCCAGTTTTCAAGTTGGTCCAAGATAGGGTCCAGTATTTAAACTTTGTTTGATTTCAACAAAAATTGAATATATGGGGTTCTTTGATATGCTGAATCTAAACATGTATTTAGATTTTTGATTATGGGCCCAGTTTTCAAGTTGGTCAAAATTGGGGTCCAAAATTAAACTTTGTTTGATTTCAACAAAAATTGAATATATGAGGTTCTTTGATATGCTGAATCTAACCATGTATTTAGATTTTTTATTTGTAGGCCCCGCTATCAAATTGGTTCATATTGAGGTCAAAAGGGTCCAAAATTAAACTTTGTTTGATTTCAACAAAAATTTAATATATGGGGTTCTTTGATATGCTGAATCTGACCATGAATTTAGATTTTTTATTTGTGGACCCCGCTATCAAATTGGTTCATATTGAGGTCAAAAGGGTCCAAAATTAAACTTTGTTTGATTTCATCAAAAATTGAATTATTGGGGTTCTTTGATATTCCAAATCTAACCGTGTATTTAGATTTTTAATTTTAAGTCCCGTTTTTTAAATTGGTCTACATTAAGGTCCAAAGGGTCCAAAATTAAACTTAGTTTGATTTTAGCAAAAATTGAATTCTTGGGGTTCTTTGATATGCTGAATCTAAACATGTGTTTAGATTTTTGATTATGGGCCCAGTTTTCAAGTTTGTCCAAGTTGGGGTCCAAAATTAAACTTTGTTTGATTTTAACAAAAATTGAATATATGGGGTTCTTTGATATGCTGAATCTAAACATGTATTTTGATTTTGGACATTGGACCATAATAGGTAAATTAAAAAAATTCAAGTTCTTAGACCACATTCTTTCTGTGTCAGAAACCTATGCTGTGTCAAATATTTAATAACAATCCAAATTCAGGGCTGTATCAAGCTTGAATGTTGTGTCCATACTTGCCCCAACTGTTCAGGGTTCGACCTCTGTGGTCGTATCAAGCTGCGCCCCAGCGAAGCATTTTATTTAAATTAGTCTACATTAAGGTCCAAAGTGTCCATAATTAAACTTAGTTTGATTTTTACAAAAATTGAATTCTTGGGGTTCTTTGATATGCTGAATCTAAACATGTGTTTAGATTTTTGATTATGGGCCCAGTTTTCAAGTTGGTCCAAGTTAGGGTCCAAAATTAAACTTTGTTTGATTTCATCAAAAAATGAATTATTGGGGTTCTTTGATATGCCAAATCTAACTGTGTTTTTAGATTTTTAATTTTGGGTCCCGTTTTTTAAATTGGTCAACACTAAGTTCCAAAAGGTCCAAAATTAAACTTAGTTTGATTTTAACAAAAATTGAATTCTTGGGGTTCTTTGATATGCTGAATCTAAACATGTGTTAAGATTTTTGATTATGGTCCCAGTTTTCAAGTTGGTCCAAGTTAGGGTCCAAAATTAAACTTTGTTTGATTTCAACAAAAAATGAATATATGGGGTTCTTTGATATGCTGAATCTAACCATGTATTTAGATTTTTTATTGTGGACCCCGCTATCAAATTGGTTCATATTGAGGTCAAAAGGGTCCAAAATTAAACTTTGTTTGATTTCATCAAAAACTGAATTATTGGGGTTCTTTGACATGCCAAATTTAACCGTGTATTTAGATTTTTAATTTTGGTTCCTGTTTTTTAAATTAGTCTACATTAAGGTCCAAAGTGTCCATAATTAAACTTAGTTTGATTTTAACAAAAATTGAATTCTTGGGGTTCTTTGATATGCTGAATCTAAACATGTGTTTAGATTTTTGATTATGGGCCCAGTTTTCAAGTTGGTCCAAGTTAGGGTCCAAAATTAAACTTTGTTTGATTTCAACAAAAATTGAATATATGGGATTCTTTGATATGCTGAATCTAACCATGTATTTAGATTTTTTATTTGTGGGCCCGCTTTCAAATTGGTTCATATTGAGGTCAAAAGGGTCCAAAATTAAACTTTGTTTGATTTCATCAAAAAATGAATTATTGGGGTTCTTTGATATGCCAAATCTAACCGTGTTTTTAGATTTTTAATTTTGGGTCCCGTTTTTTAAATTGGTCTACATTAAGGTCCAAAGGGTCCAAAATTAAACTTAGTTTGATTTTAACAAAAATTGAATTCTTGGGGTTCTTTGATATGCTGAATCTAAACATGTGTTTAGATTTTTGATTATGGGCCCAGTTTTCAAGTTGGTCCAAGTTGGGGTCCAAAAGTAAACTTTTTTTGATTTCAACAAAAATTGAATATATGGGGTTCTTTGATATGCTGAATCTAACCATGTATTTAGATTTTTTATTTGTGGACCCCACTATCAAATTGTTTCATATTGAGGTCAAAAGGGTCCAAAATTAAACTTTGTTTGATTTCATCAAAAATTGAATTATTGGGGTTCTTTGACATGCCAAATTTAACCGTGTATTTAGATTTTTAATTTTGGTTCCTGTTTTTTAAATTAGTCTACATTAAGGTCCAAAGTGTCCATAATTAAACTTAGTTTGATTTTAACAAAAATTGAATTCTTGGGGTTCTTTGATATGCTGAATCTAAACATGTGTTTAGATTTTTGATTATGGGCCCAGTTTTCAAGTTTGTCCATGTTGGAGTCCAAAATTAAACTTTGTTTGATTTCAACAAAAATTGAATATATGGGGTTCTTTGATATGCTGAATCTAACCATGTATTTTGATTTTGGACATTGGACCATAATAGGTAAATTAAAAAAAATCAAGTTCTTAGACCACATTCTTTCTGTGTCAGAAACCTATGCTGTGTCAAATATTTAACCACAATCCAAATTCAGAGCTGTATCAAGCTTGAATGTTGTGTCCATACTTGCCCCAACTGTTCAGGGTTCGACCTCTGCGGTCGTATCAAGCTGCGCCCAGCGAAGCATTTTATTTAAATTGGTCTACATTAAGGTCCAAAGGGTCCAAAATTAAACTTAGTTTGATTTTAACAAAAATTGAATTCTTGGGGTACTTTGATATGCTGAATCTAAACATGTGTTTAGATTTTTGATTATGGGACCAGTTTTCAAGTTTGTCCAAGTTGGGGTCCAAAATTAAACTTTGTTTGATTTCAACAAAAATTGAATATATGGGGTTCTTTGATATGCTGAATCTAACCATGTATTTTGATTTTGGACATTGGACCATAATAGGTAAATTAAAAAAATTGAAGTTCTTAGACCACATTCTTTCTGTGTCAGAAACCTATGCTGTGTCAAATATTTAATCACAATCCAAATTCAGAGCTGTATCAAGCTTGAATGTTGTGTCCATACTTGCCCCAACTGTTCAGGGTTCGACCTCTGCGGTCGTATCAAGCTGCGCCCAGCGAAGCATTTTTTTGATTATGGGCCCAGTTTACAAGTTGGTCCAAGTTGGGGTCCAAAATAAAACTTTGTTTGATTTCAACAAAAATTAAATATATGGGGTTCTTTGAAATGCTGAATCTAAACATGTATTTAGATTTTAGATTTTTGGCCCAGTTTTCAAGTTGGTCCAAATTGGGGTCCAAAATTAAACTTTGTTTGATTTCAACAAAAATTGAATATATGGGGTTCTTTGATATGCTGAATCTTACCCTGTATTTAGATTTTTTATTTGTTGGCCCGCTATCAAATTGGTTCATATTGAGGTCAAAAGGGTCCAAAATTAAACTTTGTTTGATTTCATCAAAAATTGAATTATTGGGGTTCTTTGATATTCCAAATCTAACTGTGTTTTTAGATTTTTAATTTTGGGTCCCTTTTTTTAAATTGGTCTACATTAAGGTCCAAAGGGTCCAAAATTAAACTTAGTTTTATTTTAACAAAAATTGAATTCTTGGGGTTCTTTGATATGCTGAATCTAAACATGTGTTTAGATTTTTGATTATGGGACCAGTTTTCAAGTTTGTCCAAGTTGGGGTCCAAAATTAAACTTTGTTTGATTTCAACAAAAATTGAATATATGGGGTTCTTTGATATGCTGAATCTAACCATGTATTTTGATTTTGGACATTGGACCATTATAGGTAAATTAAAAAAATTGAAGTTCTTAGACCACATTCTTTCTGTGTCAGAAACCTATGCTGTGTCAAATATTTAATCACAATCCAAATTCAGAGCTGTATCAAGCTTGAATGTTGTGTCCATACTTGCCCCAACTGTTCAGGGTTCGACCTCTGCGGTCGTATCAAGCTGCGCCCAGCGAAGCATTTTATTGGTGTTTAAACGCCACTTTTAAACACGGCTTTTGGGCTATTTCGTGGCGGCCAGTTTTTTATTGGTGGAGGAAGCCAGAGTGCCCGGAGAAAACCACAGACCTTCGATAGGAAAACTGACAATCCTAGTCAATTAAGATTGGAGTCGAGTGCACCCGCATGAGCGGGATTCGAACTCACAACCTCAGTGTTGACTGGCTAGTGATTACAGTAGTAACTACTTAGACCACTCGGCCACCGAGGCCCCTGAAAATTATAAAGAATACATATGTATCTGAAAAATGTGAACTGGAAAATCCCTCCTAAGGAAGAATTATAAAGAGGGAATTCTCAACTAAACACTTTTTTTCAGTAACATGTATGTTTATATGCTTATTTTACTTTTCATCTGATGCTTGTTAGAAACAAACTTATAAATGCATGAACTCAGAAATATTACATTATGTGCAGTTTTTGAAAAATAACAACCGATATGTGTAATTTTTAAACTGACACTTTCAACTTTAAAAGTTTGTTTAATTATTTCAGGCACTTGGAGGTGTTAGATGTCAGTCTCACACAGATGGTTCTTTAAGTAAGTATGATTAACTTGGAATATTTGATGTTTGTCAAGTTTTGATATGAGGGTCTTGATGATATGAGACATATGATCTCATGGTGATTCACCTACATGCCACATATCATTAGACTATGTCAAACAATAACGAAGATCTGGCCTGGTAAAGCTGAGTTTCCAACAAAGTGAATAATTCAGGGTAAAATAGGTTATCTCCCTTCAATTTATTAAAGTGGAGACATAACAATTCTGAGGCTGATTGAAAATTGAAGATGGACATAGCTGGGAACTTTATTTTTGATATGATAAGAATTGATGCAAGTGTACTACTAGACTAATTCAATACTAAAGATTAATTCTGATCTAACACTGAATCATGAAGTTATTGGTATAAAACCACTAATTCATAGCCCCATTGCTTTCTATGTTATATTCTGCAATTTCAAGCATTAATGGCTACTTTGTCTTAAGTTCAAATATAGTGGCAGTTATTTCATGTCAAAACTATCCCTTATCCTGACTTGTGCTGAAAAATTCAACATACCTTTAACTGCATATAAGAGCGTACTGGTTCCCGGAAGTTTGATAGTAAAAAAACAGGTACTTCTGATCTGAACAACATGGCAAATGTGCCCTCCTATTAACATTTTATATACTTCTTTATTATTCAAAAGAAATTTGCAACAAGGGTTCTACATTGATCCCAAGTCCCCAAGCTTTCATTTGATATCAAAACTACCCAAATATATCACCTATTGACAAAGATACAGCTATGCGTAGGAACTATTTTGTTTAAAATATGTACTACTTTCTTGTATGTTCTTTCCGACCGGGCCTGAATTAGTGGTTCTGTTCCTATTGCGATAAATGAAACAATTATATCTATTTGATGTGAACTTTTGTTGTTTGGTTTTGTTTACCCTATATATCCCTTTTCTTATTCTTCTGCGAAGAAGTAAATTCAAATGCAAATAACACCCAGTGTCTGTAAACTTTAAGAAAATCAAATCAGTCAAATGAAGCACCTTTCTTACAATTTGAGGCTTCTACAAAAGCAACTAAGATCAAACCTAAAAAAATGTTCATATTAACTAGTGCATGACTTTAATAAGAACATAATTGCTTACTAAAGATCTGCTAAAATAAATTGATATTTCGCAATTTTAAAGAGTCTTAATTTCTCTGCAATTCTCTTTTGAAACAGGAAAACAGTATCAGCTAGGGCAAGATATATTCTGTCTACATAGTGAACTTGACCTGACGGAAATACTCAATGATGAACAAACAGATGATATATCTGATGCTGTGATCATGGATGATGGAAAACTTGTCATCTGCTTGTGGAATACTAAGAAACTACTCATTTGTAATGCAGATGGGTCACAACCAGAGATTATACAATGCTTGGGACAACCAGTGAAAATAACAGCAGTCAATGACTCGACAGTAGCAGTCATCTTCATGGAAATGCCACTTGTAGTGTATACTTATGATATAAATGGGAGACAATTGTTGAGAACGATAACAGTACCTGACATGCATAACATGAGTTCTGTTACGACAATAGAGAACAAACTTCTCATTGGAGGAGATCAAGGACTATGGACTACTGATCCCGACACAGGAAAAACCCCACAGAAACTTCCTATAGAGTGTCAACCTGTCACAGTACATGCTTGTGGTGACAGAATATTCTACAATGAAACGTTAAACGAAAATATCCTGAACTGTTACACGACAACAGGTCATGAAATCTTCAGCACTGCGTTACAATCTTCTGCTACAAGTGTATTTACACTACAAGATGGTAGTCTGTATGTTTCCTGTCGAGATGGAACAATACAACATGTGTCGTCTGACGGAGAGTGGTATACGACTGTTACCACGGAGGAACTGACATCACTGAAAGGATTAAATGATCCCAGATACAATCAAAAGCAAAAGAAACTTATTACCTTTAATGAACCGACAGGATTTGTGCACATATTTAATCAGATGTAAATTATTTGCTTTGTTGTTTTCGTTGTAAAAACTTTCTTTGATTTTTCATCTTCAATTTATTGTAATGAAAATATTGTGACACATTCTTTATCATGAGACACTATATATTAGGGGCTTTCTCAAAAGTTTTGTTGATATGTTTTATGATAAAACAAATAAATTCAAAATATTAGAACTATGTTTTACTGTTTTAATATGCACCAAATTTCAATTTTTTGGTTCACCCATAAAAAATGTTTACACTTTCAAATTCTATCTTTCGATTATTTAGTCTTTAATATACATTAAATTTTTTTTTATAATAGATGTACAGCATGATTGCCAAATTTAGTTTATTGTTTTTTTGGTGTTTTTTTTTTTTATACTGTCTTTAAAAAAATGAATGAGGCAAAATAAATAATTATCAGCAAAGTTTGAAATATAAGCTTTCAAAAATGAAAATAATGTTTATACTCTAGCATATACATGTAATTACAAGGAATTTAATTAGTTACTAATATTTTGTCAATAATCTGCTTATCTGTATGATATTCTTAATCTTAATAACTACCCAGCATTTTCATGCAGTCTCATGAAGTGTTGTTGTCGAACTTATACTTATTTTAATTCTAAATATGTATTTTAAAACAAATTTTCCAAACAAATTTTTATTGAGAAAAAAAATATCTTTTGGTCAACAATAATATAACTATGAGTGGCACTATGTCCATAAGGATTTGGTACATTCTTGTTAGGACTTGACAAATGGCCACTGAAAAGTTCAAAATAGAACAAATTTAATGAGAAATTTAATGAAGAATAAAAATAACATTTATGACTGGAATTTTTTTTACAAGCATCTGTATGTTTAATCAATATCTACATTTAAAATGTATAACAAATATATACATGTAGTTGTGAGTTCAATAAGATTTTTATAAAAAAAAAATTGTGTGTATTTCAATGGATCTGTTCAAGGAAAACATAATTGTTACCAATAATTTTCATTCACAGAAGAACATGGTGATTTTCTCAAATCTTAACAGCTGCATGCATTAAAAAATAAAGCTAAATTTCTTTTCAACTCTTTGTTATGGTGTATGAATAGGTTTTGAATCATTTTAAATTTTCTTACAGTTAATGTCAATAGTATATTTAATTACATTTGTATATTCAGAATGGCCAGGGATACAATCAAGCAGTAATTGTCACATAAATTCATCACCTTTGAACTCGTGAATGATCTCAAACTTGGTTACCAATTTTCAAAGGCTGGAGATTTATAGGAAAGAAAAAACCATTAAAAAAAACCAAAAATTTCCAAAAGATTAATTTATTTCTCTCACCCAGAGCAACACATACATGTATTTGATGTCAAATTTAGCATACCTAGCTTTATTTTTCTGTGCTTAATTTCTGTATGTAAATTGTCCTTATGACCCCGGTCTGGCAGGCAAAACACGTCAACCAGAATTTTATTAGTCCCCTACCGACCAAATCGAAGGGGACTTTAGGTTTGCACTCCGTCCGTCTGTCTGTCTGTCCATCCGTCAGTCTGGCAAATCAGTTTTCCCACACTTTTTTTCTTCGTGCTTGAAAATATTGATTTGATATTTGTTATATTGTTTATCATGATAAGTTACAGATCAAGTTCAAATTTTGTTCCGGTCTGATAATTTTGTGCAGAGTTATGGTCCTTGGACTTAGAAAATTCACTCAAATATTCAGTTTTCTGCACTTTTTTTCGTCATGCTTGAAGATATTGATTAAATAATTGGTACATTGTTTTATCACGACAAGTTACAGATCAAGTTCGAATTTTGTTCCGGTCTGATGATTTTGTGCAGAGTTATGGTCCTTGGACTAAGAAAATTCACTCAAATAATCAGTTTTCCACACTTTTCTTCGTCATGCTTAAAAATATTGATTTGATAATTGGTATATAGTTTTATCATGACAAGTTACAGAACAAGTTCGAATTTTGTTTCGGTCTGATGTTTTTGCACAGAGTTATGGTCCTTAATTCACTTAAATATTCAATATCCACACTTTTTTGTCATCATGCTTGAAGATATTGACTTGATATTTGTTATATAGTTTACACCATGACAAGTTATAGATCAAGTTAGTATTTTGTTCCAGTACAATGAATTTTTAAACGGTAGGGGACTATGTATTGCCATGCAATACTCTCAGAATGCTTGTTAAATTTACAGTCTCATGAAGTGTTGTTGTCGAATTGATACTTATTTTAATTTCAAATATCTATAGTTTTTAAAACAAACTTTTCTGCTAATTGGTCGGGTTGTTGTCTCTTTGACACATTCCCCGGTTCCATTCTCAATTTTATTTTCAAACAAATTTTTATTGAGAAAAAAAGTTTGTATTAACTATAAGCAACTCAGGATAAGGTTTAATGTTTGAAAAGTTTATCTTTTTAAAAATAAACGTACAAAGTCACAATAAGAAGGGTGATGTTAGAATGGTTATACATCTTTTTTGTTTTAGATAGTAAAATGTGATGTTAAAGACATGGAAATCTAAATAATATCTTAAAACTGCATGGATTATATAAATATTTCTAATGTTTTTTGAGAAAATAAAGTTTTCAATGAAGCCATGTGAACTCTTTTATTTCTTGATGAAATATTGAAATTTGCAGACTATACTTACGTGTACACCTTACCAATGGGCTACCATGGAAACCATCTCTGCACTGGCACTGTCCATGTACACACACAGCATACTTAGCACATTTTCTGTTGTTACAGAGTTCTGAAAGATCAAAAGAAAGTATGAGAAAATAAACTGTTGTATTTATTGTCCCCTTTTGGATTATCATTATTAAAACTATGGCTTTTACCAAGAAATAACATTTGGTATGCCCCTGTCTGAATAATGCATGTTTATATAACATGGAACTTAATAGCAACAGAACCTTATTAACCTTCTGACTACACCATTGAAAAAGTAATACCTGCCGGTTCATCTAACAATTCACAAAGCTGTCAAAGACTAGAATAACGAAACCAAAACTGAGTCATTGCTATCTTTCTGATACAATCGTCTTAATAGTGTAACTGCAATCATGTTTGTCACTTATTATTATTAAGTTATATATTTATTCAGTGAAAGGAATACTGTAAATTCAGAAATCATTGTTTCATTTATTATTGCGATTCTTCAAGAATGAACAACTAGAGGCTCTAAAGAGCCTGTGTCGCTCACCTTGGTCTATGTGCATATTAAACAAAGGACACAGATGGATTCATGACAAAATTGTGTTTTGGTGATAGTGATGTGTTTGTAGATCTTACTTTACTGAACATTCTTGCTCCTTACTATTATCTCTATCTATAATGAACTTGGCCCGGTAGTTACAGTGGAAAATATTTTGTAAAAATTTACAAAAATTTACAAAATTTATGAAAATTGTAAAAAATTGACTATAAAGGGCAATAACTCCTTAAGGGGTCAATTGACAATTTTGGTCTTGTTGACTTATTTGTAGATCTATCTTTGCTGTACATTATTGCTGTTTACAGTTTATCTCTATCTATAATAATATTCAAGATAGTAACCAAAAGCTGCAAAATTTTCTTAAAATTTCCAATTCAGGGGCAGCAACCCAACAACGTGTTGCCTGATTGGTCTGAAAATTTCAGGGCAGATAGATCTTGACCTAATGAACAATTTTATCCTCATCAGATTTGCTCTAAATGCTTTGGTTTCAGAGATATGAGCCAAAAACTGCATTTTACCCTATGTACTATTTTTTAGCCATGTCGGCCATCTTGGTTCGCGGGCGGGGTCATCAGACACATTTTTTAAACAAGATACCCTCATGATGATTGTGGACAAGTTTGGTTAAATTTGTCCTAGTAGTTTCAGAGGAGAAGATTTTTGCAAAAGATTACAAAAATTATAAAGGGCAATAACTCCTTAAGGGGTCAACTGACCATTTTGGTCAAGTTGACTTATTTGTAGATCTTACTTTGCTGAACATTATTGCTGTTTACAGTTTATCTCTATCTATAATAATATTCAAGATAATAACCAAAAACGGCAAAATTTCCTTAAAATTACCAATTCAGGGGCAGCAACCCAACAACCAGTTGTCCGATTCATCTGAAAATTTCAGGGCAGATAGATCTCGACCTGATAAACAATTTTACCTCGTGTCAGATTTGCTCTAAATGCTTAGGTTTCAGAGATATAAGCCAAAATCTACATTTTACCCCATATGTTCTATTTTTAGCCATGGCGGCCATCTTGGTTGGTTGGCCGGGTCACCGGACACATTTTTAAAACTAGATACCCCAATGATGATTGTGGCCAAGTTTGGTTAAATTTGGTTTAGTAGTTTCAGAGGAGAAGATTTTTGTAAAAGTTAACAGACGACGACGACGGACGACGGATGCCAAGTGATGAGAAAAGCTCACTTGGCCCTTTGGGCCAGGTGAGCTAAAAATGTGAGTTTAATTATTGCAATTTTAAGAAAATCAGAATGCGAGTTCTTATTTTTGTGATACTCAAGGTTTCGCCTTATTGCCATTATTAAAAACCTGGCAATAATTTCTGAATTTACAGCATAAGAAATCAGCCAAATAAAACACTACTACCTATGTCACCATGATGAATTTAAGACTACACCAAAATTACCTTTCCAAGTTACAGAAAATTATATAGAAATTGCTAAATCTAAAATAACAAAATCTTTGTTTGGTTTATCAATAAGACTGCACACAAACCTTCACATTCTTTGTAACCTTGTCCAACATAGCCATCCTTACATACACAGTGGTAATTAATACACTTGGCATTTGGTGCACACTGTTTTCCTCCACATAAATCTTTAGCTGTGAAATCATAAAGGCATTTAAATGATTTAAAGTTGAAAAAGTGAATAAGTTGATAGAATGCACATATGTACTTTAATAACCAGATTGTTAGACAGATCTTAAAACTTTTAGTTAGTAATCTATTCTTCTTTACACTAAATCCATTGGATGTTGGATGTGTACTGATTGATATTTTAGTCTTAGATACATGATTATTTTTATAAGTTGTAATTGGCTTTGAACTAGCTGTAAGTAACTGCGAGTACTCTCAGATCTGTACTTAGTGTCTTTTTTGTTGTTAGGGATGTATAAATACCCTGCCACATCCTGTCTGTGTGTTTGTTTGATGTCCCAGGTAAGGGTGAGGGTTGAGGACTCACAAACATGTTTAACCCCGCCACATTCTTTATGTGCCTGTCCCAAGTCAGGAGCCTGCAGTTCAGTGGTTGTCATTGGTTCATATCTGTCATAATTGGTTTTCGTAAGTTGTTTTGTTATAAATAAGGCCGTTAGTTTTCTCAATTGAATTGATTCATATTTTTCATGTTGGGGCCTTTTAAAGCTGACTATACAGTATCGGTTTTTATACTTTAATAACCAGATTGTTAGACAGATCTTAAAACTTTTAGTTAGTAATCTATTCTTCTTTACACTAAATCCATTGGATGTTGGATGTGTACTGATTGATATTTTAGTCTTAGATACATGATTATTTTTATAAGTTGTAATTGGCTTTGAACTAGCTGTAAGTAACTGCGAGTACTCTCAGATCTGTACTTAGTGTCTTTTTTGTTGTTAGGGATGTATAAATACCCTGCCACATCCTGTCTGTGTGTTTGTTTGATGTCCCGGGTAAGGGTGAGGGTTGAGGACTCACAAACATGTTTAACCCCGCCACATTCTTTATGTGCCTGTCCCAAGTCAGGAGCCTGCAGTTCAGTGGTTGTCATTGGTTCATATCTGTCATAATTGGTTTTCGTAAGTTGTTTTGTTATAAATAAGGCCGTTAGTTTTCTCAATTGAATTGATTCATATTTTTCATGTTGGGGCCTTTTAAAGCTGACTATACAGTATGGGTTTTTATACGACCGCAAAAAAATTTTGCGGTCGTATATTGGTATGACGTTGGCGTCATCGTCCGAAGACACATTGCTTTTCACACTCTTACTTAAGTTTAAGTGAATGGATCTCTATGAAATTTTACCATAAGGTTCAATACCACAAAAGGAAGGTTGGGATTGAT